TGATGTAAAAAAAATGAATAAACAAAATAATTTTTTTTTAAATAATTTTTATTTGTGACATTCTTTAACCAATTTCTTTCCAGTTAGGGTTGAAAAATGTTATTAGTGATTATGGGCCACCAATTGTTCCATAACGTAGTACCATTGTTGGAAGAATTGTCTGGCAAAAGGCACGTAATCCAAATAACGGCCAACGGTGGGCAAGAAACCAGGGGGCAACAATTCAGTGATGGTGGGGAAAGCATTTAAAGCGTTGTCAACAAAAGCGTAGAATTGATGAGGCATAAAGAAATCCTTGAGGGCACGGAAGAATTCTTTGACGGCAGTAAAGAATTCAGGGGTGAAGAATTGGTTGTAGCTAGGCCAGTATTTGAAGACGTTTTCAACGGCAGTTTGGACTTCGCTGGGGAAGAATTGAGCGAATTGTCTGTACCATTGGTAGAAGATGTTCTTGAAGAATTCGTAGAAGCGGCCGAAATATTCAGTAACATCATAAGTTTCGTATTCCTTGAGGGTTCTGTTGTAGTGGGCGGTGGTGGTGTAGTAATGGGTACCATGCTCTACATTTTCACCATAGTTGGCAGCAACCACCTGGCAAACGATAAACGATAAACGACATATATTATTTAAAAATTCCCTTTACCAAGGTAATATGCTTACATTCAAAGCCACAGCGGCTACGACGAACAAAGTAAGGAATTTCATGTTGCTTGATGTTTATAGAATTTTTACCGTTTCTTAAGAAGACTTCGAAAGACTCATGTCATTTGCTGAAAATTTCACGTTATTTATACTAAAAAATTTCTTAAAAAACTGCTTTTCAGTTAACGGGCATGATTTTGTGATAAGAAAATCGTGTTTCAAATCGTTTTCATCATGTATTAAGGTATGTAAAGATCTATTTTATTTATTTGAACTAAAGGAAAAATTATGCCGCTGATGTTAAGTTAATCAGTCATAGCAATAGTTGAAAAATTCGTAAATAGATATTGGAATATGAGACACTATTGCTTTACGTGAGAAACTTTCGGGGTCGTAATAAGAAATATATTATCGTCTTAAAAGTCGAAATTAAACTTCCATGTGGGTTGCTCCATAAGTGAAAAAGTAACACTTATTCGAATATTTCCCTAATATTTGAGCATCTTCCATACGACATGGTTATATAACGAAATTTCCGAAATATACTGGCATCCTCGGAGAATGCGGTACTTATAAAACACAGTTTTGGTACAAATTTTCTGGACGCAACAATGAAATTATGGGCTGCAAATTCTGCAAAAACATTAGGCGTTTCTGGACGCAGATTGGTATTAAAAATGGACTTATAAAGTACAATAGATAAATGTACAAAAATGTGAATGTGTGTGATGCTGCAGTACATGTACGAAAATGAAAAATTAACCACGTCTAGCCAATATTATGGTATACCAAAATTTAATTTATTTTCAATACTTTTATTAACCGCAGAAGTGAGCTTTAAACCACATATAAGGCGTATAAAATTTTGACTAGTCACATATTCGGTATTCACCCAAGAATGTCCGTCAGTTCGTCTGTCAACTGTGTAGTGTCTGCGATAAACATTCTTTCGTTTGCAAAAATGAAGATTTCGCCAACAAATTTGCCAAAGATTTTAATACAAGATTAAATAATGCGCAAAGAACGCCCACACGTCTGCACAAACAAAAGTGATAACACTTTGTCTTTTCGCGTCTCATAAACGACAACAGGTATACAGGGTGTAGATTTCCCCAAAATTATTCTGCACGAATAGAAAAAACCAGCCATGCCCACTCAATATTTTGGAATACGCAAATTTATATTTTTCTTTTCTTTCAGTCCTTTATAAAGTGACAGTGATTGATTGGTGTAAAGGATTCGGTCACAACCGAATATAATTTTCTTATAAGTTTATGTATATAAACGCTTGGAAGGAAATTTCATCATAAAATTTTACATCTCAAGACTTGACTTCGATGCACAAGGCATCGCGTAACACGGTTTCGAAACAACCCGAATAAGGCTTTGGTACAACAAGGAACAACTTGCCTTGATTTAAGTTTAAATTGCATTATTCTCTATAATATCCTAGTTTAAACAGATAAATAAAGAGGTTTTACCCGCATGACTAGCCGAGTAGACACAGAATTGCGTCTAACAACTCAATGGCCGCGAGCTCGAATCTCAAGTGCGGTAGAGTTTTCAATACAAGCGAGCGTCTAATTAAGTTATCCGGCAGCCTTTAAATCCACACTTTGCAAATATGTTTACAAAATACAAAGATAATAAATAAAATATATATAAAAAAAAAAACATATAAAAAATATATTTGCAAAATACATAGACAATAAATAAAACAGTTTTGTATAACACGATGTCGATACAATGCGGGACGAATTGTAGGGTAAATGGTTGCATATCACATCTCATTTTTGGCGAACTTCATCCTATTTAAGTGTTAACATGATCCTGGTAGTGGTAGTCATAGAATTTTTCTCTCTCAATACAGTCCAACATAATTTCTTCACAGTGAACCTTAGAACACTTTTAATTACCCGGCGTTACTTCCAAGAAGGTTATTCAAATGAGTCGCTAAGAGCTTTTTTCCAACAATTTTTCGCGGAAATATTTTTTACTCTCAATGAGCAAAACGTTATATCCCATGTATGTATGGCCGGCAGGGTAATTATTGCAGCGGAAACTTAAGGCGTCTTTCTTCAAAGACTTTCACCACGAGGTCGAGGTGTCGTTGCATTGCAACCAGACGCTTGATCCGTAAAAAAGTACTGGCTTTAAATGTTTCTCCCTTTCAGCATATAAAGTGTGGCCATCTGGCATTCGAGAGCTGGCCACCTCAAAGCGACGAAAGGCGTTTTGTCAATCCACATGCCATCAGATGCTGTGGGATTGAGAATTGTTAGCAATTGTTGACTGAATTCGATGAAACGTTTATGCTCGGTTAAGCAAATATCGTTTTCCTAATGATTTTCTCTTATGAATATTCCACGATTTTCAAGTAAAGTATTGGACAAAAAAAAACAGTAAAAGGCTTTTTGTAAATAGCTTGGATGTGAGATAGGACCGTGTAAGTAGGTTACTGACATTTATCATAAAAAAATCAATTAAAAGTTTTACGACCATTGGCTCCTGTGAACAATTTGTCGAAAAATTATGTGCACGGAATCCAGAAGCCGGACCGATCAAAATGGCATGCACATCAGACTTCCTAAATTTTTTAAATATATGATAAGTAACTAAGAGAAAATAAGCAAACGTCGATTAATGCTGCAAGGTACAGTTCTGGCAAGGATTTTAAAATAAGAACAAAACATGATCCGCAAAGAAAAGCAATCTTGTATAAGCTTTGTATGTCATTCTCATTGTGCAGTTTATTCAATTAATCTTTTTGTGATTAAATCAAATACTCAAGCCAACAAAGTGATGTTTGCGAAGAATTCTCTAAAAGGATCTGATATACTTTTTATAATAAAGCTCCATAAACCATTTTTCGCTATCTCAAGGTTAAGATCAAAACTTAGAGGAACTTAGGTATACTAATGACTTTTGAAAGACCCACGCTATTAGTAACTATGCTGATGTAAAAAAAATGAATAAACAAAATAATTTTTTTTTAAATAATT